TACATTCTAATTCTCGAAACAAACATCATAGTGTGCCTGTCTCAGACAATAGATGGAATTACATTCAACTCGTTCTTGTACTGGCATGTCTTTCAAGTTTTATTTACTTCTGACCTCTGGTTCAAAGCAGAAGTTCCCACTTCGAATGCCGTAAGAACTACAGGTAAACAAATACAGAAAATATGCATGTCAGAAAACACATCGATAGCTCCATACTTCTACTAATTGAAGTTATACAACAATTGGTAAGCCCTAGTACATGTAATGTGAAGATACATGTGACTGGTCCAAATTGCAAACCTGAAGATATTGTCAAACTCGGGGACAAATCCTTACTATTTCCTTCCAAACTGCATGTACATGTATTAATAATTTGTACACACATGCCATTCAAGTAATGAAATGAATAGATGAGTTAAGTTGCGATACAATAAACATCTGAAAGTTTATCACACAGCTAACGTTGACACATTCAGTGTTTATAACACTAGCTAGAAACATGTAGTGTACAGTACACGTAACGGTAAGACTATAGGCCCTATATGCTATACATGAACCAAAGTAATACACGCTTACCACTGTGCCGTTTATTGAAGACAGACCCCAAAAATTCTTCTTTACTTTAGAATATAATGGATGGTCAAAAACTGCAGATCTAGAATGTACTTATTCGTTAATATAGATATCACCTTCTGGGAATATATCAGAGTGAGGTGGACAGAAAGTCTGTATGCTGATGCTGGCAATCACATGGACGGCGGCCCGCTAAAATGTTATACATTGCATCGTGAACTTTACAACCGCAGTATGGCATGCCCAAAGTCACTAAAAAGGGATAAAGTATGGAGCGTCGGCAGTTACACTCCCAAACAAATTACTTCCTTTTGCAATTATACTGGAAGTGTAAACAAAGTTAAACTTAAGCCGAAGTAATTTCCAGAATTTAATGCTCAATACTGACAAATTAAGATTACAGTGTCAATAACCACAGTCAAATCTTTACATTCATGGAAAGGATTGTAGCAAACACACGACCTTACGAAAAGTACAACTTTCATCCAAACTTATACAAACCACGCAAATTTGCGAAACATTATACAACAATAAGCATTTGTATGTATGAACTCTGATGGCAGCTGTCGCGCTGGGCTGACCACACATGACGAGCATCTCAGCCAGTAGTCTTGACTGACGGTAGTTTCCCTTCAGGCTACTGATGGTGAGTGCTCTAATAGGACAACAACCTTCTGTACTGGTCTCTGGTACTCTGAAAGTTTCCTTTCTGGACAACCTTTCTTTTTTAGGTTGTTGGTGCCCACACGAATGAGTACCCTTCTGACCAGGCCATCTACATCAGTCATTACTTCGATCACAGTTGTTAAAGGCCACCTCATCCGTGGAACTTCCTCGTCGACAACGACAACCATATCTCCTGTTTTGATGTTTCTACGTGGCTTTGACCATTTGCGTCATTCTTGCAAACCCAGCAAATACTCCTTGCGCCATCGGGACCAGAATTGTTCTAAGAGATACTGGACTCATCTCCAAGCCTTTGTGGTGTACATATCTGTCCGTGTGAACAGTCCTGGGGGTGGAGATGGTGACATTCTCTTCATCGTCAAGAGATGATTTGGCATTAGTGGTTCGGCCTTTGGGTTGTTCAGGTTGATCAATGACAAAGGACGACTACTGATGATAGTCATGGCCTTGTAGAAGAATGTACGTAAGGCTGAGTCTGTGAGCCTTCCTGGACACAAGTCTACAGTTGCCCTCAAGACACTTTTGCTAGGTGCTTCAGACCATAGTTTGCACACCCAGGGGAGGATGCCGCACCAAAAAGGTGCATTTTCATACGGTAGTCAACTGGTTGGCGAGTTGTGTCGTTGTCTTCCCACCACTGGAAGCGCAGGTAATCCCGGTGATCTTCTCTCACATGAAACAGAAAGAACATTTTTTGTATGTCACACATAACAGCCACTTCATGTAACCTGAATCTTAGCAGGACTCCCACCAAGGCATTTGTAAGGTTGGGGCCTTTCAGGAGATGATCATTCAAACTGATGCCACCAAATTTCATTGAACAGTTGAAAACTACTCTGATCCTGTTCTTGTGGTTGTGAAAAACACCATGATGCAGAATGTAGTTTGTTGCACCTGGAGGGCCTTCTCCCGTCGCCCTTTCGGCGTACCCTTTGTCAATTACCTCCGTCATGAGAGCCTTGTAGTGTTCCTTGTATCTTTCATCGCGGCTTATTTTCCTCTGGAGGTGGCGGAGTCTCACTGCTGCCAAACGCCTGTTGTGTGGCATCTCAGACTTTGTCTTGAAAGGCAGTGGCATTTCAAGGTGACCAGAATTGTTCTTGGAAATACCTCCTTCCAGATGATGAATTCAATGTCCTCCTGGGAGAAGGATACGTCTTGGCATGGCTTCTCAGGGAAATCAGCCTCCAAGGCCTTTAGTACATGCTTGGGCATTATTCCGGACAACTCTCATGTAGCAACTCTACCACACTGACTGGCGTTGATGCTGCTCTTTGGGTTCGCTGAACCAATGATACTCCAACCCAAGTCTCTCTGAATAGCATATGGTTCCACGTCTGTGCCAGTAATGACTTTCCTGGGAATCAATGCTCTGGGACAATTGTATCAGCAACCCTACTTCACAACTTTGCAGAGCCGGCATTTCTCCAGCAATCTCTTGAAGGTGTGGCCATTTGTCTGTAGTATCTCTTGTTGGGATGTGATCCTTGTCTGCCGGAATAAAATCACGCGTGTAACACTTCAGAATCTTGAGCTGAACAGGAGAAGTCATCCCTCTCACCAACACATCAGAGATCGCGTCACACTCAGTGGTGGTTGATGATGTCATTATGGACAACTGCAGCCTCATAGACTGTTGCCACATGCCCAGAGCACCTGCAACATCTTCTAAAATGAAGGAGGCATCACTCTGGGTGTCGAGCAGCGCGTATGTTAATGTCTCCTTCCATGGTGATTGTGCTGAGGATACCCACACAGGGACAATCATAGCAGTGCTGGTGGACTTGCCGAAGTCCACCAGCTATGTTATACATTGCATCATGAACTTTACGACTGCAGTATGGCATGCCGAAAGTCACTAAAAAGGGATAAAGTATGGAGCGTCAACGGTTATACGTAGAACAGATTTATCTCATTTTACTTCAGCAGCAGCATGAACAATACCTATTCACAAACCAAATAAGGAAATTGAAATATTCTGGATAATAAGGTTACATCAACATGTTAATAACAGGGGTGTGAGTGGCCACTTGAAATTAAAGGTAAAACAGCTAGCAAAAAGCTAAAATGTAAAAGGTACCCATACTTTTATACAGACCAGGTGCACAAAGAACTGGAATTCAGGGTCAACAACTAAACAAAAAAGCTGGAATCAGCTCCACAGATGAATTGTCAGACCCCTGAAATAATCAAACACCGTGAACCATTACGTACATGGTTCACCTGTAGATGGAATAACAATTAAATATGCACGTTGGATGTTTGGAAAATATGAAGCGAAAAAATGCCTGTAGGTATGAGGGTATTTGCCTGAATTGCATCATAAAAAACCACAAACCATTTTGTGTCCTGAAGATTTCCAGATAATTCAAATGTCATGGGGAACAATTCAAAATATCGGGATCTTATGCATGCTGAAAACTCTGCTTCTTCTTCCAAAATTAGTTTGAAAAATTTTTGCAGCAGTCTTTAAATAAATTTTAAAGGGTACACGTAGACATTTATGCAAGTGAATCTCACTTCCTGTTACTAACAGTTTTAGATAATCTTGTTGCGAATCCCTCCCTTCTTCCTTCTTATTTTATTTTTCTTTTTGACAGTGGAGCTATATGATTCCTTTTATTTCATCCTCAATAAAACAACACCTCAAACACAACTTTGAACATCAAATACGTATACAAGAAAATAAAACACAAAGTTAACGTGTACAAGTTCCAAAGACAGAGGAAATACGGCACTAGAGGAAGAAATTAAAATCAAATCAGTAATGAAATTTACAAAAACAAGAGATTCCACAAAAAGGTTATGCAGAAAACAAAGAAGGTGACTTCCATCAGTAAACAAACATTAGTTCGTTGGATCTGTCAACAGAGCTTAACACCTTATGTTTACAATACCACGATTTGAAAGACATTAATGTCAATCTTTTATGCTCCAAACAAATTCGTAACAATATCAATGTCTGCTTGATGTGAGAAATTATCAAAAACAATCTTACATCGGACATTCTAAATTTATTTCATCATTTTGGCTATGACAACACTTTCCACGTAATTTGACCTGTGACCAAAAATTTGCATAGAATCATTCAAATAATAGTGTTTGTTACCCAAAAATCTCCTCAGTAAATTTTCCACAAAGATCCAAGCATCGAGTGTACGAACGCAATAAATGAAGACATGCTCGTGAGTCTCCGGTTCATTCTTACAAAATGCACATAAGGAATCATCACTTTTACCTATTTTAAACAAGAGATCTTTATTTGCAAGAACTCTGTGTCTGACTTTATACATTAATTCTTTGTCCTCCGAGTCCATAAGGGGGTTTTCTGGGTCACTTTTCCATACTGCAGTCCAATCTAAATTGCAACTGATATTAAAAACAGTTTGCCAAACTTTCTGGGCTTCAGGGGGGACAAATTTCAGGAGGAACAAATGCTATAATATTAGCATAATTGGATTTAGCTGTTGTTTCAGATATCGGGATAACACCATCATCAACAGGAATGACCAGCCAGTTTGCAATATGGTTTGGAGGACCCACCTTTTTTTCTTGTACTAAGGAAGCATCAAAATATTTATGAAAATGTGCTACCAATCTGCCCGCATTGATATTCTTAAGTTTGTACTTAGAAGAGATAAACATAATCACCGCTATATACCGCTGGACCACGTCCTCCACGTGTCCCCCGCCGTGTATTGCGGACGCAGTACGGGTGACCTCAGCGGGCGTTGCACGCTCTACTCCATGGGCGTGAGGGGGCGTGCGTGGGTAGGCTTGCAATACACTGTGCTGGTAAGGCTGCCGTCGGCTTCCCTGTGGATCATGGTGTCCAGGAATGCGATGCTGTTGTCTTGCTCATTCTCGATGGTGAACTTGATTCTGGGCTTGAGGCTGTTCAGGTGGTTGAGTAGACGGCTGGCTTGATCCCGTGGTGCAATGACAAAGGTGTAATCGACGTACCGCTTCCACAGGGTAGGACGGCAGTCGGGTGGGCAACTCTGCAGGGCCTCCTCCTTGAACGATTTCATGTACAGATTGGCAATAACTGCTGACACCGGACTACCCATGGCTGCTCCGTCTGTCTGCTCGTAGTATGCTCTATCGTACAGGAAATACGTAGAACGCAGGACAAACTCTACCAGGGAAACGACCTCAGCAGGGGAGAGCGATGTCCGGTCAGGCAACTCAGGGTCTTCCTCCAGGTGATGAAGAGCCACACAGCAAGCGCCATCTATGGGGACGTTGGTAAACAAAGACACGACGTCGAAAGAGATCAATGCCTCATGGCTGTTGATGAGCTGCCCGCAGAGGAACTCTGCGAAAGCTGTGGAGTTGGGCACGGTATTCGGTGTGTTACCGGTCAGCGAAAACTGTGGAGTTGGGCACGGTATTCGGTGTATTACCTGTCAGCGAAAGCTGTGGAGTTGGGTAGGTATTCGGTGTGTTACCGGTCAGCGGTGACAGGATCCCCGCTAGATGCTTGGAGAGGTTGTAGGCAAAGGAACTCACGCACGAAACAATGGGTCTCAAAGGTGTCCCCGGCTTGTGGATCTTGGGTAGACCGTACATCCGGGGAGGCTGTTTGCTGGTGGGACGTAACTTCCGGTAGGTGGCATCGTCAAGATTTCCGGACTTGTTAAGGGGGAGAAGCTGGGCTGTGATCTGCCTGCAAAGCCGGTCAGTGGGGTCCTTAGCCAATTTCCAGTAAGGGCCCGTGGAGATGAGCTCACCCATCTTGTCCCGGTACATGTGGGCGTCGAGGATCACGCTGGCACGGCCCTTGTCGGCGGGGAGGATCACGATGGAACGATCTTGCCGTAGAACCTTCAGGGCGATGCGTTGCTCCCGGTTGATGTTGCTCCTGGGCGGGCGTGCCCTCCGTAACGTGGCGTTGACTTCTCTGCGGACCAGATCAGCTGTTTCCGAGTCAAGCCTCTTCAACGTTGTTTCCACACTGGACACGATCTCCATTGCCGGTACATGGTCGGGGGTGACGGCGAAGTTGAGGCCTTTCCCTAGAAGAGATGTCTCGACGGTGGTGAGGGTCCTCGCGGAGAGGTTGACGACCCACTTCGATGTGTCAACGGCAGACTCAATTGGGCGCTGGGTGGTGCGACGGGCCGAACTCTCCTCAGCACACCTGGGGAGCTGGTCACAGCTAATAATATGCATTAGGTTCTTTAATCTATTAGTTATTACTTTGGATAATATCTTATAATCCACATTGAGCAAACTGATGGGCCGCCAATTTTTGAGTTCAAATTTACTTCCCAAATTTTTGTATATAAGTCTAATTAAAGCCGAATTCATTGACTTACTCAAATACCCTAATTTGAAGCATTCGTTATACACATCTAAAATATCAGATTTGATGAGCCCCCCCCCCCCAAAATTTCTATAAAATTCTACTGTTAACCCGTCAAGGCCCGGAGACTTGTTTTTATTTATCTGGAAAAGAGCAACCCTTATTTCTTCTTCGCTCAAGTTTTTTTCCAGCTCATCACAAAGATGATCAGGAATTTGTTTTGTATCAATATTAGCAGTTATATACCATCAATATCAGGATCGAGAATATCTTGAGCTGTATTGAACTGGGTGTAAAAATCATTAACACAATAAATCATCTCAAGGGGCTGTTCACCAAAATTGCCACTACTGGTAAGCAATTTTTCAAGTTTGTTGGTTCTTATTTGTTCTTTTTCTAGATTCAAAAACTACTTGGAAGCTTTTTCACCTTCCTCTTTCATGGTTTTGTGCACTCGAAGTTTAGTTTTTTCCCCATTTGCCTATTTCATGTTGCCTGAGCAGACTTTGTGATGATGACGTAAACAGGAGACAAGTCACATGACATTACAAATGCATCATTTAAGGCAGTGTAACTCCTGAAATGTATTGTCAGACCGGGTTGAAACTTTGAAGTTATCAAGGAAGGGACGTGTTATAGACGAAAGTTGACCCCCTGATGACCTTTTCATAATGCCATCAGATGTCAAATTCCAAGCGCTTTCAATTTTAAGTCATGCTAAATCTTAGAAATTATAAATGTAAACATTTGAAAACTACCTGATTACTGCCTGCAGCATAGCCGGACAAGTATGGCCATTTATATCTTTGCAATATTTTCACAAGAATATAATATAAAATCAGTGCTCTGGAATATGTAATTGCCGAGCTTTCGGTAACTGGGTACCATTTTCAGGGCCAGCACATTCTGGAACGCTGCATCCGGGGGAATGAACGTTGATTTTTCTGCGTTGATTCAAGTTTGATTCTGCTTGCCCTGAAGAAGACACTCAGTTACTGAAAGCTCGGCAATCACACATTCCAGAGCACTGATTTTATATGATATTCTTGTCAATATTCTGATCATGGTGCTAAGCAGCCCATTCATATATCCTCGCAATATTTGTGCTGTTTTCTTTCTCATTAAATAACTTGACCACCACAGGACAGGTAAGTTCATAACAAACAAAGTGCGCAATTTCGTCACAAGGAGTAATCATCAGATCTCATAAAATACCTGTGACACAAGAAAATGCACGACAAGGATGGTGTACCGTGTACTGGTC